CATGTGCTGGATGTCCTCCTCCAGGTGATCGTGCTCCAGAGCTGCGCGGGCCTTCTCCCCGGTCAGCTGCTGCAGGAGACCCTTCAGGTCGCCCAGCTCTCGCTCGTAGTGCTCCCCAACCGAGGCGCGCCCGGCCTGGCTCTGCCGCAGAGCCGCCGCTTCTGCCTCCAAGTTGCGGTTGTGCATCTCCAGGTTACGCACCTTGTCGATGTAGCCGGCGAACCGGTCGTTCAGGGTTTGCAGAATCTCTTTCTCGCTCCTTCGCGTCATGTCGCCGTTGAAGGTGTCCAGGCTTTCGACGGAGGGCGGCTGGCTGTAGGTGAGGCGGCGGCGCTGGGAGTGAAACCCGCTGGAGGACACGGAGACAGGCCGAGCCTTGCGGTACGAGGTCGGGCCGAAGAAGTGGTGGTCCACTGAGTAACTCATGTTGGCCAGGCCGGTCGAGAACTGACTGCAGCAGGAGGGGCAGCGCTGGGTTTATATAGGAGGGAGGGAAAACTCAGTAGTCAGCACCAGGACACACTCTATTTAAAGAGATATCTTTTATTCAGAAAACTCCTGCCTGCGCAAGAATCTGTTCAACTCTAACCAGTGTAGCACCTTGTTGATGAGTATTTTTTTAGTGAAGGTGTTAATAAGGTGTATTTTATTATTTTATTAAAGCAAGAAACCTAAATATTACTTTTTATTGAATATAAACCATTTTTAAAGCATCACTTGACACTTTTTATCTGGTGGAAACATGCTTATATGTTAAATGATTAGAACATGAGTCATTTTTATTTGAATTTTAATGTCATTTGCTATTTATAAACAGCTCTATAGGATAAATTATTCATTTTACAAGGTTTTAAAAATATGAAGATTCATAATTTGCCTTTGCTGTGGCTGAAGTCTTTGTGAACTGATTGTGTGGGTGTGCAATGTGTTCTGCTGATGCTCTCTGTAGCTGTACTGCTGCAGTGTGAGTTTGCAGATCCATGCCAACACCCCTGGGACTCAACTCAACTGCTGGGCCATTGACAGACTCTT